GCCGTTTGCGGTTCAGTGTGCGGCGCATCAACTCAACCTTCAGCCCCGGGTCTCCTTGCCAGAGACCTCCCCCGCCTTACGGTGGACTGGGAAGGTTGGCGATGTGTCTGCGTTTCGGGTCTGGGGATCTCGGGCGTTTGTCCGCGACTTGTTTGTGGACAAGCTGTCCCCCCGTGCTGTTCCTTGCATCTTCCTTGGCTTCCCCCCTGACGCGCCTGGGTGGCAGTTTCACCACCCCACCTCGCGCCGTGTTCTGTCCTCCCAGAACGTCACCTTTGACGAGTCGGTGCTTTACTACCGTCTCTTCCCCTATTGCACTGTGCCCCCCCCCCCCCTGCCGCCGCTATTCCTTGCGCTAGGTCCTCCCCAGGTTGACCCCCTTCCCCCTCAGGGTCATGCCCCGTCAGGTGTGTCCCAGGTAGATGCAATCGAGCCTGTCGAGGGTGCTGTTGACTCTAGTACTGCTAGAGGTGCTGAGCCTGCGGGTGCCGGGTCTGGGGGTGCTGAGTCTGGGGGTGCTGAGACTGGGGGTGCTGAGCCTGGGTATGCTGAGTCTGGGGGTGCTGAGCCTAGGGGTGCTGAGCCTGGGGGTGCGGAGCCAAGGGGTGCGGAGCCTGGGGTGCTGGGTTTGCTCGTGTGGCCGATGGCAGTACTTCGTCGAGGCGGGAGCCGCTCTCTCCACAGGAGCTGTGCGAGTGGTTCGCCCGCCACTGGAGACGTGCTGCTGAGTCCGGGGGTTCTACTGGAGCTAGTGGAGTTGGTCCTACTAGAGCTGCTGTCGGTGCTACTGCTGCTAGAGATGGAGCAGCTGGGGGTGTTGGCACTAGTGTTTCTGCTGGTGCTGGTGCGTCTAGGGTGCTGTTGAGGCTGCTAGTGCTGACGGTCCTACTGGAGTTGGTGCTGCTAGAGCTGGAGCTGCTGGGGGTGTTGGCGCTGGCGGTGCTGCTGGCGCTGGTGCTTTTGCGGGTGCTGGAGTTGGCGCTGTTGGAGCTGGAGGTGCAGCTGGCGCTGGTGCTGCCGCTCGGGGTATTGGTGCCGTCCTTGCTGGTTCTAGAGACGCTGCGCGGCAGAGACCGTACTTCGTTCCGCTCCTGGAGCAGGTTCTTGGTCTCCCGCCCTCTCCTGGTCCTGCTCCTCCCTTAGAGTGTCCACAGCCTAACCCGTCGCAGTCACAGTTACAGCCCGCCTCCCCGCTACCTGCTCCTTCTCCCTACACTGGTCCTACTGGAGGTCTTGTTGAGCGTTGTGAGCCTGCGTCTCCTCCTGCGTCGCCTATTCATGCTGCTCGCACGAGTCGTCGTGCTGCGCGTCCGCGTCCTCCAGCGGTCCCCGGCACACACCGTATGGCACTGCGTCCTTCCACTGCTCAGCGGCGTGTCCCGTTGCCGTCTCCTCCAAAGTCCTCTCTTCCTACTCTTGCTGACCCGGAGTCTGACTCCCTTCGTGCTCCTAGTCTTTTGGTCACGCGCCTTCTTGCTACTTTTGTCACTGACCCTTCCTTTGAGTCCACTCCTGCGTCTGCCCTAGTTGCTGAGCTTGTCGACTTTGCTGCTCGCTGTCCTCTAGACTACGCTGCTAGTCTCGTTGCTGAGTCTGAGTCTGTCCTCCATCCGTCAAGGGTGAGTGTGCTCTTAGCACGGACGTCCTTGAGGACAGGCAGGAGGAGTTCCTGTGCTTTGCGGCTGCTTTGCCCCATCTCGTGTCCACGCTGATTGCCCTTGAGGGAGACACGGATGCACCAGACATAAAGACTCCTCGATCGTACGCTGAGGCGATCGAGATTCCCTACTCTTCACAGTGGCATTCGGCCATGGACGCAGAGATGGCTTCCTGGAAGTCCACAGGCACCTATGTGGACGAGGTTCCCACACCTGGGGCGAACATCGTCACTAGAATGTGGATTTGAAGGGTGAAGAGGCCGCCAGGTTCTTCGCATGTCTTCAAGGCGCGTTACGTGGCTCGAGGCTTCAAAGAGCGGCAAGGAGTTGACTACTTTCAGACCTTCTCTCCCACCCCGAAGATGACCGCTCTTTGGGTGCTTCTGCACATAGCCGCTCAGCGCGTCTATGAGCTTCAATCTCTTGACTTCAGCACTGCTTTCATTTAGGGCAGCCTGCACGAGGAGATCTGGCTGTGCCGCCCTCCTGGCTTCACTGGGTCATTTCCTTCTGGTACCCAGTGGAGCCTCCGGCGGCCAGTCTACCTTCTCCGCCACGCGCCCCGTGAGTGGCACGACACACTGAGGACTACACTTGCGGCTCTTGGGTTTGCTCCTTCTACAGCCGACCCGTCGCTGTTTCTGCGCACCGACACCTCTTTGCCGCCGTTCTACATCCTCGTGTACGTCGACGACTTGGTCTTTGCCACTGCTCACACTTCTGGACTCGCCCACGTGAAGTCTGAGCTGCAGAAGAGACACACGTGCACAGACCTGGGTGAACTGCGCAGCTACCTTGGCTTGCAGATCACCCGGGACAGAGCACGCCGCACCATTACCCTGACTCAGTCACACATGGTGCAGCAGGTCCTTCAGCGCTTCGGCTTCACCTGGTCCTCAGCACTGGCCACTCCTCTGGCTGTAGGTCACTCGCTCTCAGCTCTGCCTTTGGATGAGTCCGTAGAGTCGAGTGGCCCGTACCCAGAGCTTGTTGGCTGCCTCATGTACCTCATGACCTGCACACGACCTGACCTTGCATACCGTCTTAGCATCTTAGCACGCTATGTTGCTCCTGGGAGAGACAGACCAGAGCATATGGCTGCAGCGAAGAGGGTGTTGCGCTACGTGTGCAGTACGTCAGGCATGGGGCTAGTGCTTGGAGGGCGACGTCGAGTAGTCCTCAAAGGTCACGCTGACGCTTCTTGGGCTGACGACCAGGCTCTGCAGCGGTCGTCACAGGGTTACACCTTCAACCTTGGCTCCGGCTCTGTTTCGTGGCGGTCTACCCGCTCGTCTTCTGTTCTCAGCTCCAGCTGTGAGGCTGAGATCTACGCAGGGGCCATGGCTGCACAGGAGCTACGCCGGCTCACCTACCTGCTGACTGACCTAAGAGAGGCGCCTCGTTCTCCTCCAGTTCTGTACGTAGACAACAAGGCCATGCTGGCCTTGTGTCGGGAGCATAGACTGGAGCACAGAACGAAGCACATTGCTCTTCGCTACTTCTTGGCTCGTGAGCTGCAGCAGCGTGGTCAGCTCCGCCTCACCTACGTGGCCTCTGAGGCCAACACTGCTGATATCTTCACCAACGTCCTTTCGCCTTGTGATCATCATCGCTTCCGTACTTTGCTAGGTCTTGTGCCTACTTGGCCTCACTTGCTCACTTCTTGATCTTGTGTGTACTGTCCTCTTTCTATACCTGCACTTGCTTGTTTACCTTTATATGTATAACCTATCATGTGAACTGGCCTTGTGGCCTTACTCTTGTGCTAGGACTGTATGGTGACTTTGTGATCCACCCTGAGCTTGCTTTGCTTTGCTTGACTGGTCTTGTGACCACTTGTTCTCCCCCACTTTGCCTATGGGGGTGTGTTAGAACATTATAGCTTATACATTTGTGTAGGCTGTAGTGGGGTAGCCCATATGGGGTACAACCCGATTAGGGTTAGTACTTGTACCCAACTGTTGGGTATGGGCCACTCGACTCTACGGACTCATCCAAAGGCAGAGCTGAGAGCGAGTGGCGAGTAGACAGAGGAGTGGCCTGAGGTGAGGAATACGCGAAGCCGAAGCGCTGAAGGACCTGCTGCACCATGTGTGACTGAGTTAGGGTAATGGTGCGCTGTGTTCTGTCGCGGGTGATCTGCAAGCCAAGGTAGCTGCGCAGTTCACCCAGGTCTGTGCACGTGTGTCTCTTCTGCAGCTCGGACTTCACGTTGGCTAGTCCAGCAATGTCAGCAGTGGCAAAGACCAAGTCGTCGATGTACACGAGGATGTAGAACAGCGGCAAAGAGGTGTTAGTGTGTCGTGCCACTCACGGGGCGCGTGGCGGAGAAGGTAGACTGGCCGCCGGAGGCTCCACTGGGTACCAGGAGGAAACGACCCAGTGAAGCCACGTGGGCGGCGCAGCCAGATCTCCGCATACAGGCTGCCCTAGAAGAAAGCCGTACTGAAGTCAAGAGAGTGCAGCTCGTAGTCGCGCTGAGCGGCTATGTGCACTAGCACCCGAAGAGCGGTCATCTTCGGGATGGGAGAGAAGGTCTGAAAGTAGTCAACTACCTGCCGCTCACTGAAGCCTCGAGCGACGTAACGCGTCTTGAAGATAGGCGGAGAACCTGACGGCCGCTTCACCCTGAAGATTCACATGCCACGGACAATGTTCGCCCCAGGTGGGGGAACCTCGTCAACGTAGGTGCCTGTGGACTTCCAGGAAGCCATCTTTGCGTCCATGGCCAACTGCCTATGAGAGGAGTAGGGACTCTCGATCGCCTTAGCGTATGATCGAGGAGTCGGGATGTCTGGTGCATCCGGGTCTCCCTTAGCCAGGAAAGTCCGAGCCAAAGCCTTCCCTGAGCTGGAGACGAGCTGGCGGATCCAATTGATCAACACCTCAGTGACGTCACCCTTGCTGCGCAAGGGGGAGATTGTGATGTAACGCGAGTAGTCGTCAACTACGCGCTCTAGCCCCTCGACGTAGGGGACGCAGGTAGGGCCAGGCCCCGGAGGTAGGGGAGGGAGAGACCAAGGGAGACTAGAGACAAGGACATGGGAGGCCATGCCTCGGAGACGAGGCAGGAAGGGGTGACCAAGGCGGTGGTGCCAGAGGAGAGTCTGGTGGGACAGTAGACAACATGAGCAGACTCAGGACCAGACCTGGATGTGCAGCAAACATCTGACTCCACGCAGCTACTTGGCCAGACTCAGTAGCCGGAGGAGACTTTGTAGTAAGGGTGTACAAGCTAAACCCTGGCCGACGGGTGAACGTGGCCAAGTAGTGGCCCGTCCGAGCACACGTGCAGTGGGTCACTCGCTGACTTGCAGGAGTGAACTGGCCAACCCCCCTATCCTATAGATCCGCTCCACTCACCAAGTTCGTAGAGAACGAGGGGTGGTAGAGACCTGACAGGGTGCCAGAGGGGGCTGCCAAGCACGGTAAGACAGTAGAGAAGCTAGCAAGGACAGGACCCCGAGAGGGGTCCGCCAAGGAGACTGCAACCGGCCGACTAAGCGGCGGAGGAGTGGTACAATCTCGAAAGAAGGAGCGTGACGCACCCAAGTCAAGGGTGAAGGTGTGTAAGGCCTGAGCCGATATAGTACCTGAGAGAGCAGACTCACCAGCACCTGGGGCAGCAGACGCACTAGCACCTGGGGCAGTAGACGCACTAGCACCTAGGGCAGCAGCCTCACCAGCACCTAGAGCAGTGGCCTCAATGCCCGGGTCAAGCGGTACATGCAGGTAACAGTCACCCTCAACACTAGTAGACACAAAATACATGGCAGCAAGGATAGCATCATAGTCAAGATCAAAGATAGCCACCCCCGCCCTAAACAGATCTCCCCAGCGAGGGATCTCTGACGCCTCAGGGATCTGGCGACGCCACGCGTCCGTCAGTCGACCGAAGCAGTGCTGGGTGGAGTGCGGGCCCCTGCACTGCTCACCAGCTCGGTCGCTGGTACGGAGGACGTAAGTGTAGGGACCAGTACCCCCACCGCGCTGACGCGCAGCGTACCACTCACGAAGCTCCTAAGGGGACAGGGTTACACCACTCCGCTGCTGCTGGCGCGCACCACCACCTGAGCCACTCCTCTGCGCAGAGTCGCGACCTGCTCCATCATGGCCACCGCTGCCACCGCCGCCTCCGCCGCCTCCTCCACCTCCGCCTCCTCCGCCACCTCCGCTGCCTCTGCTCCCTCCGCCACCACCGCCGCCTCCTCCGCCTCCACTGCTGCCGCTGCCGCCGCCACCCCCGCCACCATTCCCACCACCACCCCCACCCCCTCCACTGCCTCCACCACCACCTCCACCGCCCCCGCCAGCCCCTTCAGCGCCCTTGCTCCCCTTGCTCTTGCCGGTGCGGCGTCTTGCGCTAGGGGTAGACGCAGCGCCGACTGACTCGAAACCAACGAGGTCGGCCGCAAAGCAGAGGCAACAGAGGGTAAGAGGGGGGAGGGAGAATACCCCTCAAAGACGAGGGTGCGAGGGTCACCACGAGAGGCTCCTACAGCGACTATGCTCTTCTCTGCTGCTAGGAGGCCCTTCTCGAGGAGGTCAACGGTGAGAGTGGTGGGGCAAACTGAGAGGAAGTGGTCCCTGACTACGCGAAGAGAGTCAGGGAGCCGGGTGACTATGTAGTAGAGGGTGATGTACATGGGGGGGAGGGGGGGGGTTCTTGGCGCAGAACTCAGCAGGAAGCGCAAGCGCGGTAGCGAGTGTCACTAGTGCGGAGGTGCGTAATGAGGTCAGCGACTGTGGGAAAGGCAGCAAGGTCAGGGAAGAGGTATGGTAGCATGAGGCGGCTCAGTGCAGCAGTGGCAGGGGAAGAGTAGCGTGCAACTACATCGTCGTACAAGGTCTGAGCACTCTTGTACTGGCTAAAGTGTGCACGCTCAGTGGTCTGTAAGTGGCGACGCACAGCAAGGCGAGTAGCAGCATCGTGTGTGGCCCACTGTGAGCGAACAGTGCTGTCACTAGTGGCAGGCGGGGCAGGAGAGACACCAGAGGTGAGATCAAACAGAGAGAGTCCGTCTGCCCTATTGCACTGGAGAAACAGCTGGAGGTCATCGACCCAGACCTCAAAGTCAGCAGCACGGCCCTCAGCATCAAAAGTAAGGACACTGGGGGTAGCCATGACTGCAGTGGCCTAGCAGGAAGTGAGCTCACCAGTCCGAGGAAGGAGGGCCGGGGAGCACCGGTAGGAACAGCAGCTGCTCGACAGTAGGGCGGCTCGGTGGCTCGGCGGCTCGGCGGCAGGGCGGCTTGGCTGCTGGGCGGCTGGGCGGCTCGGCGGCAGGGCGGCTCGGCTGCTGGGCGGCTCGGCTACTGGGCAGCTCGACGGCAGGGCGGCTCGGCTGCTGGGCGGCTCGGCGGCAGGGCGGCTCGGCTGCTGGGCGGCTCGGCTACTTGGCGGCTCGGTTGCTGGGCGGCTCGGCTGCTGGGCGGCTCAGGAGCCGGGCCGCCCAGTAGCCGAGGCGCCCAGCATCTGAGCCGGAAAAGGGCGCCGCGAGGGGCCGAAAGGGGCCGCGCGAGGGCCGTAAGGGCGACGCGAGGAGCCTTAAGGGGCCATAAGGGCGGCGCGAGGGGCCGTAGAGGCCAGCGCGAGGGGTCGTAAGGGCGGCGCGAGGGGCCGTAAGGGCGGCCAAAGGGGTCGTGAGAGGGGCCACTAAGGGCGGCTCGAAGGTAGGGAGGGCACATAGAGCGTGACTCGGGCAGGAGTGAAGCGCGCTACGGGCAGGAAAAAAAAAAAATATCGTGGTGGGCCCTAGGTAGCGTTCCCGCTAGGGAACCTGCTTGATACCATGATGAGAAACGAGGATGAATGCATTGAGCAGAATGAGGAGTACAAGTAGTAAACCCTAAAGTGTTGTACCCCATATGAACTGCCCCACTACAGCCTACACAGACTATAGCATATATGCCTGACACATACATATAGGAAACCCTAATTGGGTTGTACTCGCTATAGAGTACCCCACTGCAGGCTAGACAATTATAATATTCTAACACACCCCCATAGCCAAAGTGGGGTGTAATCAGCACAATGAGTAAGCAGGCATAGAGCAGGAGTTCACAATAGGGAGCAAAGCTAGAGTTAATCACAACGAGCAAGTGAGGAGGAGGGGGAACTGTGGAGGGAGAGAAGATGGGAGGCAACAACTGAAGCTGCAGAGGCACGGGCACAGGAGCGGCTGACTCAGTGGCTACTGAAGCAAGGGCGACGGACTACTGGGGTAACTGGCTCCGTGGCTATAGACGAGCGGCAGGAGCAACGGACCCACTGGCGACTGGTGCAACAGGCTCACTAGCTACCGAAGCAAGGGCGACGGACTACAGGCACTGCAGGCGACACGACAGCTACCTTCACACAACCTCCTCCAGCTTCCCCACACCTCTCGACACACACCCCCTGCTCAAACCCTAGTTCTACTCCCACAGCACCCCCCTTTCACACACCCCCTGCTGCACCCTAGGTTCACTCACACCCCACCCCCTAGCACCACTCCGTCGACTCCCACCCACCCACCCCCCTCAGCGGCAATTGCAGCAGTGGGAGACAGAGGAGGCAAAGCAAGCAGCAGAAGGGGCGACGCTCGCCCCCCCCCCCCCCCCCCTAGGTCGCCGCGGCCCCCCAGGGAGCCGCGACGGGCGACGGGAAAAGAGGGGGGGGGCGGTGCACGTGCCCCCGGTGCGCCGCGACAGGCGATGGAGCATGGCCGGGGCGGGGCTGGGGCAGGGCCAAAAGGGGCGGCGACGGGGCGGCGACGGGGCCGCTGGAGGCGGCGACGGGGCCGATAGGGGCGGCGACGGGGCAGGCGAAGGGGCCGCGAGGGGCCTGGAAGGGCAGCGTCGGGCCGCTAGGGGCGGCGATGGGGCCGCGAAGGGGCCGCGAGGGGCCTGAAAGGTCGGCGACGGGGTCGTTAGGGGCGGCGACGGGGCCGCAAGGGGCGGCGACGGGGCCGCTGGAGGCGACGACTGGGGCCGATAAGGGCGGCGACGGGGCCGCGAACGGGCCGCGAGGGGCTTGGAAGGGCGGCGACGGGCTGCTAGGGGCGGCGACGGGGCCGTGAAGGGGGCTGCGAGGGGCCTGAAAGGCCGGCGACGGGTGTCAAACTCATTTTATATAGCTTGTGTAGGCTATTGTGAGGTAGACACTATGGGGTACAGTTTCCTTGGGTTTCCTACTTGTACCCAGCTTTCTGCTAGTTCATTCCATTCCTCAATTCTCACATGGTATAGAGCAGGTTCCCTCGTGGGAACTTCCTAGGGCCCACCACTGAACATCGATTTTTTTTTTCTGCCCTGAGATCGAGTCGCTCCTGACCAAGGCGCGCCCTGTGTGCCGCCCTCCCCTTCGCGACCGGTTGCGCCGCCCTCAGCAGCCCTCCCCCTCTCTCACGGCCCCTCGCGACCCCGTCACCGCCCTCCTAGCGGCCCGTCGCGCCGCCCTCAGCGGCCCGTCGCGCCGCCCTCAGTGGCTCCTCCTCCACGGCCCCGTCGCCGCCCTATCGCTGGCCCCGTCGCCGCCCTAACGCGGCCCCGTCGCAGCCCTATCGCGGCCCCGTCGCTGCCCTATCGCGGCCCCGTCGCCGCCCTCTTGCGGCCCTGTTGCCGCCGCCGCCCTATCGCGCCCCGTCGCCACCCTCTTACGGCCCCGTCGCCGCCCTATCGCGGCCCTGTCGCCGCCCAATCGCGGCCCCGTCGCCGCCCTCTCAAGGCCCCGTCGCCGCCCTATCGCAGCCCCGTTGCCTCCCTCTCGCGGCCCCTGTCGCCGCCCTATCGCGGCCCTGTCGCCGCCCTATCGCGGCCCCGTCGCCGCCCTCTCGAGGCCCCGTCGTCGGCCTATCACGAGCCCGTCGCCTCCCTCTCACGGCCGCATCACCACCCTCTAGCGGCCCCAGTCGCCGCCCTCTTGCGGCCTCGTTGCCGCCCCTCCGCGGCCCCGCTACCTCTCCTACGCGGCCTAGACGACGCCTCTACCGAGCCGCCCAGCAGCAGAGCCGCCGAGCTGCCCAGCAGCCAAGCCGCCGAGCCGCCCAGCAGCCGAGCCGCCTAGCCGCCGAGCCGCCCAGCAGCCGAGCCACCGAGCCGCCCAGCAGCCGGCCCGCCGAGCCGCCCGACAGCCGAGCCGCCCAGCAGCCGAGCCGCAGAGCCGCCCAGCACCCGAGCGCCGAGCCGCCCAGCAGCCAAGCCGCTGTGCCGCTACCAGTCCTACCGACGCGCCCCGGCCCTACTTACTCGTACTGGTGAGCTCACTCCTTGCTAGACCTCTGCAGTCATGACTACCCCCAGTGTTCTTACCTTTGACACTAAGGGCCGTGCTGTTGACTTTGAGGTCTGGGTCGATGACCTCCAGCTGTTCCTCCAGTGCAATAGGGCAGACGGCCTCTCTCTATTCGACCTCACCTCTAGTGCCTCCCGTGCCCCGCCTGCTACAGCTGACAGCACTGTTCGCTAACAGTGGGGGACACGCGATGCTGCTGCCCGTCTTGCTGTGCATCGCCACTTACCGACCACTGAGCGTGCACACTTTAGCCAGTACAAGAGTGCTCAGACCTTGTACGACGATGTAGTTGCACGCTACTCTTCCCCTGCCACTGCTGCACTGAGCCGCCTCATGCTACTGTACCTCTTCCCTAACCTAGCTGCCATTCCCACAGTCGCTGACCTCATTACGCACCTCCGCACTAGTGACACTTGCTACCGCGCTGCGCTTCCTGCTCAATCTTCGCCAAGAACCCTCCCCCCATGTACATCGCACTCTACTACATAGTCACCCGGCTCCCTGACTCTCTCCGCGTAGTCAGGGACCACTTCTTCTCAGTTTGCCCCACCACTCTCACCGTTGACCTCCTCAAGAAGGGCCTCCTAGCAGCAGAGAACAGCATAGTCACTGTAGGAGCCTCTTGTGGTGACCCTTGCAGCCCCATCTTTGAGGGGTGTTCCCCCTCCCCCCTCTTGCCCTCTGTTGCTTCTGCTGCTGCTGCCGACCTCGTTGGTTTCTACGGGGTCGGCACTGCGTCTGTCCCCTAGCGAGAGATGCCGCACCGGCAAGGGCAGGGGGGGCAAGGGCGCTGGGGGGGCTAGTGGGGGCGGTGGAGGTGTGGAGGGAATGGGGGTGGTGGTGGGATTGGTGGCGGGGGTGGTGGCGGCGGCGGTAGCGGTGGAGGCGGAGGAGGCGGCGGTGGTAGCGGAGGGAGCGGAGGCGGCGGAGGTGGCGGAGGAGGCGGAGGTGGAGGAGGCGGCGGAGGCGGCGGCGACAGCGGTGGTGGAGCGGGTCGCGACTCTGCGCAGAGGAGTGGGTCAGGTGGTGGTCCCCGCCAGCAGCAGCAGCGTGGTGTGACACTGTCCCCTCAGCAGCTTCGTGAGTGGTACGCTGCGCGTCAGCGCGGTGTGGGTAGTGGTCCCTGCACTTACGTCCTCCGTACCGACGACCGAGCTGGTGAGCAGTGCGGGGGCCCGCATTCCACCCAGCGCTGCTTCAGTCGCCTGACGGACGCGTGGCGTCACCAGTTCCCTGAGGCGTCAGAGATCCCTCGCTGGGGAGATCTGTCTAGGGCGGGGGTTGCCATCTTTGATCTTGACTAGGATGCTATCCTTGCTGCCATGTATTCTGTGACTACTAGCATTGAGGGTGACTGTTACCTGTGTGTACCGCCAAACCCGGGCATTGAGGCCACTGATCTAGGTGCTGGTGAGGCTACTGCTCTAGGTGCTAATGCGTCTGCTACCCCAGGTGCTAGTGCGTCTGCTGCCCCAGGTGCTGGTGAGTCTGCTCTCTCAGGTACTACCTCGGCTCAGGCCTTCCACACCTTCACCCTTGACTCGGGTGCTTCCCGCTCCTTCTTTCGAGACCGCACCACTCTTACGCCGCTCAGTCCGCCGGTTGCAGCCTCCCTGGCAGACCCCTCTGGGGTTCCTGTCCTTGCTAGCTTCTCCACTGCCTTACCGTGCCCGGCAGTCCCCTCTGGCACCCTGTAAGGTCTTTACCTCCCCTCGTTCTCTACGAACTTGGTGAGTGGAGCGGACCTAAAGGATAGGTGGGTTGACCAGTTCACTCCTGCGAGTCAGCGGATGACCCATTGTACATGTGCTCGGAGAGGCCGCCATTTTGCCACGTTCATCCGTCGACCA